TTTCAGTCGCTCGAGCATCACTCCGACGAGCAGCTAGCGAAAAATCGGCGTGAATCCTTCTTGTTCCAAACATGAAACCCCAAACCCTAAGCTAACCTACCAACTATGAAACTTTACAATTTAGTCCCTAAACTTATATAACTGTTCAAATTGGTCAATTTGTTCACAGAATTGCCAATACAAATTATAAACTTAACAAAAACCATTTCATTTTTTAAGTCAAATGAGTTTTGCGGTTTACTTGGATTTCAAACAGGTAAAAAATAATATATTCGTGTGAATATCATGTAACACTTGAATTAAAACCTTCTAAACATAAACGCTACAAATATCTTTGTCTCGATACATTCTTAAATCAATATAAGATTAAACCATAAAATTTAAGTTTGCAAATTCATTCTTTTTGAATTACATAAGAAAATATTATCATAGATTATTATTTCTCCAAAAAGCCAATAAAACCCTCTAGCAAGTAAAATACTAAATATTTTGAACTTTAAATGGAAATAATTAATAGTATATATTGGATTAAACAAGTAAATTATTTTACTAAATTGAGTGAATTTTTCGATCCCAATTTCTCCTCCCTATTACGTTAACTAGGGTGAGAAATCCCCCTTGATTTTGTGATAACGAGGGTGGTCCCCTAGGGCGCAAGTAATCACATGAGATTGCCCTCGTAGATTGTTGTCGTCGGTGCAAGCAGAAAGATTAGGGTTACGATGATGTTGTGAATTTACATAAGTGCCCTTGTAATTGGGGGTAGGGTGGTTGATCAGTGTATTTTATACACTTATCCGGGGTCTAAAATAACAATATTTGATAGTTCATTTGACAAAATATATCCTAAATTGTTGTATTTTATGCTATATAGGTAAAACTCGATGGTTGGACGATGAATGGAAAGAAAAAAGTGAAAAATGGAAAAATTCAAAGTTTGAGGATCAAATTGTAAATTCAATAGTTGATTTGGACCACAAGATGATAATTTGAAGATTGATAGGAGACAATTGAATAGAATTAGAACTCAAAAAGGAATTGAATATGATTAAAATCAATTTTCAATCGCACAAGTTATATTCCATATTTTTAGTCGAAAATTGAAATCCATTTTTGACATAATAAACGACTAAATGTCCGAATTGGGAAAACACTATTCTATAAAACTTGTAGCCCTTTGAGTTAAATTTTCAACGAACTTTGAATTACATCAATCAGATATCGGGAGAGAAAGTTATTGTCAAAATACTAAACGCTGTACAAAGATAAAAAAATCCGCGCACGAAGATGACTTTCCTTATTCGATTAGAACTCTTTTGGAAGTCAATTTGGACATAATTTTCAACCAATTTTCGACTCCTACAAATACATAACAGCAGAATACATATTGAGGAACTCTCATATACATATTATACTCTATTATTCATCAATTATTATCATCAAAGGAAGAGAATTCATAGTTCTTGTGAGAGAATTGAAAGGGATTTGCTAGAATTCAACCAAGTGAAGATTAAAGTCTGATTGTTGGGCAAAAAAGAGAAGGCGTAAGTGGAGATTCATCAAGAAACCATTGAAGAGATTCAAAATTTCAAGATTCATCTTCATTTTCGAAATTTATCAAAAATCCGGGTCATATCTTTTTACTTAAATATTATTTCTTGTAATTTCAATATGTTAGGCTAATTTTATACATTGATAGGATAAGATGAACCCTTGTTATGNATATATTGTTAAGATGAGATAAACCATTGTTATGATATTTTTTGTTTTTAATTAACTATTTTGACTTTAATTTGATTTGATTTGTGGATGTTTATTATCGTTTTTATCGTTCTTTTCAATTGTTTGATCACCAATTGAATTGTTAGTGGATTTTATTGTTATCGAGAGAGACGATAGGGTTTAAGCACATCATAATAAACATCGTAAGGATCGATAGAGGATAGAAATATACTTCTATGCTTTATATGGTTTCAATATGTGTTCTAGTAATTGTTAATGCATTTATCATGTTTGCATCTTTCATCGAGAGATAGAAGGATCACATGAGGGAAATATATTTGATCGCTATCGAGAGGGGCTTTCAATTAAATTAGGAACATTGACCAACATAAATGATTTCAAATTATCACTTTAATTGTTACACTAGAAATGGAATAACAATGGGGATTCGATATCTTAGCAATGCATCTCACACATATGAAAAACACATTTACTTACTTTCATTAGTTTAATTGATAATTTAGGTATTAGCAGTGTTCTAAAATGCGTAATCTTTTAGATGAAAACGCATTTTCCCCGCATTTTCCGAATTCGACGCGTTTACGACCCGCGTAGCGCCTAGGCGGCGCATTTGCGCGCCTTTTAGAACATGGGGTATTAGTATAGAAAAAATCACAAAATCTATTTACTATTCGATTAAAGTTGCAATTAATTTTAACTCGATCAAATACATAGTCCTTGTGGGTTCGGTACTCTATTCATCACTTTATTATTTGACCACGACCCCGTGCACTTGCGGAAAATCAAACGATCAGTGGTGCACTATGGTTTATGATCCATTTGTCCCCATCAATAGTTATTAGTTTTTAAATCTGATGGGTTATTGTGGTCGGGCTATACTGTTTACGTTGTGATCATGGCATGCTTTATCATTTTGGTCCAACGTGGATTGGCAAACCCTAATGTTTGTAGATAAAGAAGATGAGGGCAGTTTAGTCTTTTTGTCTTTGTTAATGGGAAAATTAAACAGTCGAATTATGAAGGTGTTAATGATTGTAACACTTGTAATTGTCGGTCATTAGAATCTATTTATATAGTCAGTTGTTCTTTATTCCATACACACGAAAATTCCTCCCAGTCTGCAAATGATTTTCTTTAGTGGCTCTAGTTTTTTACTCCGTAGTTGCTAATTTCCTATTTTTCTCTTTTTCAGTATATATATAATATTATATTCTGGAATTTTATACTAACAAACTTAAAAGATATCCGATTAAAGAATAAACATGTGGTTATTTTTAATCTTAGTTAACGAACTATTATTTGTTTGATTTTTCAAAAATGGTAACGGAATCAATTCATATGGATGCGGCTACTAAAAATCAGACCATGTCTCAATTGTCAAGTCTTGCTGTGACTCAAAATGTGGTTAAGTTGCTCAGTCATGCTATGATCCAAACAGTGGCCAAACAATCCTGTTGTAATCATTTCGATTAAACATGGGTAAATATCGGATGAATTCAATGATTTGAATTTCAAAAGGTGGTAACACAAATGTTACTTTATTTGACAACCATGAATCTCATAAGATTTTTGACGGAGGATGCTCCACTACTCAAAAAGGGTGATGGGGATCGCGTTGAAGTTTAGGCAACTGTTGATGGATGTTTTATAACTGGTGGTGTGTGTGATGGAACTGCTACTACATATGGTATATGATTCTCATATCTGTTAGTGGCGCCAAAGATAGTGGTAATTCTTTTGCATATTGTCATAGCATTCTTCCGGACAATCAACCGCAATAGCCTCTTTGTCCCACAAAAAATATAAAAAAATAGCTAAAATATCTTTTAAAAAAATGTACCAAATATCAAATGAAGAAGCAAAGAGACTAAGGAAGAAAATGCAGAACGACTTTATATAATAGAGCTGAAAACTTGTTATAACTTATAATCTAACGTTGTTGTTCGAAGGAGAAGAAATTAAATGCCTATTTGTTTTTGGCGAGCCAGGATGAGACGAGTGAAGTAGGGATTAAATATTCTATTTACCACATAATTTACATGTTTATTTAATTTTTAAACAAGATTTAAATTTAAAAATAAAAAAGTAAAATAAAAAAAAATGATTCGAAGCGGGTTTTGGTGGGATTCATGTTTCGTGTTCCCATTCCGATTTCGCAAGCCAAGTTAGTGCAATGCAGTTAGTAGTTGTGTCATGTCAAAGACTCCAATCTAGTAAAGGGTAAAATTTAACTACGAGTATTCTTTTCAAATAATGCAATAATATAATATAACATAAAAAAAATCCTCCCAATTTTTATAATTTTTATCTTTTCATAATTTCCTACATATTAAACAAAAGAAAATTCACTTTAATTTAGACCATTGCGTAATTTATATTTAAAGTTTTGGTGATTATATTGCTATAGAGGTAATAAATTGAGGGTCAATGGTGAAATTTTTAATAAGAATTTGTCCTCAATTCGAGTGAGGCCAATGCTTCTTTCTTTTCAACAATGCTATCCTAGCAATAGCTTAGGTGTCTATACTTTATATGTTCAATTAAATGAGTCATATTATTTTGTATCTAAATGAATATAGTATTTAATGACATGTAATTGTTACTCTTAAAAACATGTATGTGACTTACAATGTCATAAAAAGATTCTGATTGGGTTCAAAATCAATCGGTTCCGATATGATTCAATTCCTTTTTGTAAAATCAAGAATTTCATTTTTCACAATTTTTAATGGAAGTTGATTAATCCAATTCTCAAGATGTCTACTCCTACCACTAGGTAACTTCAATGCCACAAAAAAGAAAAGGTCGGGGGTTACAACCGTTAAAATAAGAAGTTTAGAACCATTTCGCAATATTTTCAATGGATTGAGGAGCTCTAATTGTCCCTAGATTTTTTTATCATATGACGGTCAAACGAAAAACCAATGTCGGTCACCAAGTAAACCAACCGACGTCGTAAATTGTTCCTTTGTTTTTATTATAAATATATGCTATTCTTAAATTAGTGTTACTATTCTAATTTCAGATCCCCAATTCAAAACCCTAGTTTTTGTTATTTTCTATAATTTCTCTTCCCTGGTATAGTATTTAGTTTCAATTTCAATTACTCTGGTAAAAAAAATACCCTAGTTTTAAGGATTTTCAGGGTTATATTATTGATTTGGGAACATGCCGGCCACAGCGGGGAGGGTTCGCATGCCGGCGAACAACCGGGTGCACAGTAGCGCTGCCCTACAGACACATGGCATATGGCAGAGCGCAATCGGCTATGATCCCTATGCGCCGAACAAAGATGAAAAGAAGAACAATTCGTCCGAGGTGAATACGGCATCGGAGCCTGACCCTGAGAATGCCTATGCTAGTTTCCAGGGCCTTCTGGCTCTTGCCCGTATCACGGGGTCGAATGCTGATGAGGTCCGTGGATCGTGCAAGAAGTGTGGCCGTGTTGGGCACTTGACATTTCAGTGTCGGAATTTTTTGAGTGCGAAGGATGAGGTTAAGGAGGGGAAGGATTCAGAGGCAATTGAGGCTGCGGTTTTGTCTGGCTTGAAGAAGTTGAAGGGGAAGGGGAATAGTGCGATGGAGAAAGAGGAGAGCAGTGGAGAGGAAGAGGAAAGTGAGAGTTCAGATTCTGATTATGATTCTGAGATTGAGAGGGCGATAGCTGGAAAATATGGGAAAAGAGTTAGTCGAAGTAAGGCAAAGGCTAGTATAAGTAGGAAGAGGAAGGATGATGGTGACTCGGATGATGATGGGACAGAACCGGATTTTAGAGATAGGAAGAAGAAAGTGAAGTCAAAGAAGAGAAGTGGGAAGAGGGTGCATAGTGATTCTGAGTATGAGGATGAAGTAAAAAGTAAGAGGGGAAAGGATAAGAGAAGGAAAAGGGATTGCGACTCATCAGATGACGATGAAGAAGAATGCAGGCGAAGGAGGAGGAGGAGTAGGAGAAAGGAGAAGAGCAGAGGAAGGAGTCACCGGTATTCAGATGATGATTCACCTAAGGATTCTGCTGAAAAGAGGCATAAGCGGAGCAGGAGGGCATCCTCAGAATCTGCTTCTGATGAAAGTGACTCGGATAAGGGTCTAGTGCGCAGGGACAAGAAGTTGTCTGAGAAAAAGAACCGAAAATATCGTCATGAATAGGAAGATTGGCTTCTACCGAAGGTGATGTAGCACGATAATTTTATGCATCTTATTATGCAAGATCATGTATTGGCTACATGGGATCTTGAAGGTACTTGATGAGAATTCTGTTAGAAAGGCATGCACTTTACGGGGATATATTTTCATTAAAGCGTTGAATTCTGTTGTTTTAACTACATCTATTGTATTTGTTGAATCATGATTCATCTTTGGTTGTAAGAACTCTTTAGCTGATATAAACTACCATTACATCTTTGATGATTATTGCATTGGTGATTAATTATGTTTATAGTACTTGATACAATTGAATATAAATTACATAACACTATTTAAATTTTCTTTGATCACTATAGCCCTGGAATCTGGATGTCTCTATTTTGTTATTTTTTGCCTCATCATGGCGTTTGAGTTAGTGAACTTGAAAAAATTTTCTTTGATCACTTCTCTTTGTATTTCGGTTTTGTGTTTTGAGTTTTGAATTCATTTTGAGTTTTGTATTTTGAGTGTCCATTTTGAAATTATTGAAAATGTGCTCTTTTTGACATTTTAAAAAATTGTTTTCGAAAATAAACAAAAGGAAAACGTGCTCTCTCTTCATTTCCATCTCATTTTGCGTCGTCTCTCTCTCTCTCTCTCCTATCCCTGCGATCGCCGATTCTCCTTGCTCTCGGCGATCTCCTTGCAAGCGGCACAGTGGTGGTTTGGGTTTTGGCGCTCCCTGCGATCCCCTTCCATCCTTTTTTTTTCTTTCTTTGATGCGATGGTTGGGTCGCTGACAGATCTGTTGTGAACGGCGATGCATCTAAGTTACTGTTGTACAAAATGTAATGGTTGGGTCGCAGACGGCGATGGTTGGGTCACAACTTGGCGGTGGTGGTTCTGCTGCAGGCGGTCTTGTAACTGAAAATAAGCGGTGGTTCTGTTGCAAGCGAGCGTTGCAACTTTGTGGTGGTTGATTGGATGGTGATGGTGGATCTAGGCAGTGTTGGTGGTTGTTGGTGACGGCGGGCTTGGTGTTGGTGGTGGGGGTGGTTTTGGCGGTGATTAGATCGGCGGCGGTGCAGTGGTGGGTCGCGGTGGTGGTTCTGTTGTGATGAGTTGGGTGCGGTGGTGGTTGGCGGTGGGTGAAAACACTCAAAACGTGTTTCCAAAATTTTGGGTTTTTTTAACTGAAAACACCCAAAACAACAAATGTGTTTTGGGTTTTCTTTATAAATTTTACAGTTGTTTTAAAAAACACGTTCGAAAATAGGAAAGAGAACATGTTTTCACTTTTTGAAAAATCGAAAACAGAAAATGGGTTGAAAATAGGAAAGAGAACAACCCCTAACTGAATGATATAAACCTTAGTACCTTACAAGCTGGAACTAGGACAAACATGACTTGAAGTGATGAAAAGAAAATTTTTGGTTATTATACGTGTTAATGGGACCTATTTGAGAGTGATATAGCTTTGAAATGGTGTGTTATCTATAGCAGTCTCAGGCTTTCACATATTTTGGCTAGTATTTGTGTTAGTGGGACCTAGTTTAAGAATGATGTAGCATCTTAGCTGTTGGATTCATCTGGCTTTGAAATAGTGTTATCCGTAGCAGTCACAGGCTTTTAAATATTTTCAGCTAGAATTTAAAGTGTCAATCCGGGTGGTCCGGGC